AAAAAAAAAAAAAAAAAAAAAAAAAAAAAAAAGTCAGGAGATAGCTCCTGCCCTAGTATTGGAGGAGAAGGTGCCGGTGCCTCAGAGCAGCTGAAGAATGAAATACAAGGGAAACAGCAGCCACTGTATGCAGGAAGCCTCTCAGCTCTCAGAATCTATTCCCTGCTGTCTCCCCCAGCAACTTATGCTGGGCCTCTAATCCCCAAGTTCCTCCCTTTCTCAGAGATCCCGACAATTTTAGTTTGTCAACTGCAAGGGCGATCTCTTCCCCACTCACTTTGACCAAGATGGGTTTCTTGTCTGTGCAGGTGCTTTTTGTTTGTTTGTTTGTTTGTTTGTTTTTGAGATGGAGTTCTGCTGTGGCCAGGCTGGAGTGCAGTGGCACAATCTCCGCTCACTGCAACCTCCACCTCCCTGGTACAGGTGCATTTTTAGAGGCAGGACCAGGTTCACAGGGAAGGAAATTACAAAAAGGCAGAATTCTGCCCCAGCTGAGGCAACAGCTTTCTAAATCTTAGGGCTGTCCAATCTCAGAGTGAAATTATTTGGGAAACAGCTCAGTCCCTGCAGTTGTCTCACCTGGTTATTTATGCCTCAGCTGGAGTTGGGGTACCCTCTAAGTTCCCCTAGGGTTGATGCGCAAGTGGGGAGGCTCTATCACTGAAATGGACCCAATACCAGAAACAGATCCAGTGCTACCCAATTAGGTTTGCCTGATCCAAGGGCCTCAGTGGGAAATACCTCCCAAGGCCGGGCACGGAGACTTGAGCCTGTAATCCCAACACTTCCGGAGGCCGAGGTGGGTGGATCACCTGAGACAGGGAGTTCGAGACCACGCTGACCAACATGGTGAAACCCCCGTCTCGACTGAAAATACAAACTTAGCTGGGTGTGGTGGTGCACGCCTGTAATCCCAGCTATTTGGGAGGCTGAGGCCGGAGAATTGCTTGAACCCAGGAGGCGAGGTTGCAGTGAGCCAAGATCGCACCATTGCACCCCAGCCTGGGCGACCAGAGCGAAACTCCATCTCAAAAACACAAAACAAAATAAAACCTGAGCCTGGCAGCCTGGAGCCGGTTCTGGTCTCCGTCAAACTAAAGGCATCAGTTTCCTCCACTCCTACCCACCCATCGCCTGATCTCATTTTCTTCAGAAGCCGGGAATCCACATTTTTAAGTGAAATCACCCATTTTAATGTTCGCAACTTATTTCAGTGTTTTAAATACTATAGACCAAAAGAGGTATGGACTGTGGCCGCAAGCCTGACTTGGCCTCCGACGGTCAGTTTCTGAACTAACTAACCCCAGTTTTGGAGGGAATGTCTGCTTCCTAAATGTCCACTAGAGTTCGTGGGGTGGAGTGAGGGAGGATCCGCGGCTTCCCATACAAACAGAAACTCTCCCTCTCCTGGAGTCCGATCAAGGCTCATCCCAGCACCCTAATCTCTCCCTTTGTGCATTTTGAGTTAAGGAACAAAACTCAGGGCTAAGCCCCTTCAACCACCCCTACAAGCACCAGGTCTCCAGAAACTCAAGAACTTCGCCCTTCGCAGCACTCACCGGCCATGGCTCTAGTGCAGTCCAGGGCGCCGATTGGCTGGGCTCGTGGTTGCTGGGGCGACCCTGGCCGGCGGTGGGGGGCGTAGGTTCTCGGGGCTGAGCTGCAGGGGCTGCAACCGTGCAGGAGTCCTGAGTGCGCGGCGCATTCTCTTTTATCTGCTGCCCCGCCCATTTGAGTTGGACAGCCAACCAGGGTGGTACCCAACGCCTGGTCCTGGGGCGCTGGGCAGAGGCCTCAGTTTCAGGAAGGGAGGGAGCCTGGGGGATGAAGGAGGGGCCCCTCCACTCCCGCTCGCCCTAGCAACTGGCGGAAGTCACGAAAAGTCTCTGGGGGTGGGGAGAGGGGTTTTGTGGGGGGGGATGTGACAGAGACCTCAAAAATCTGGCTGAAGGGGCTAGGCAGGCCCATCTGTGCACTGTGTCCTGAGGGGGGTGCAAGGGGATGCAAGGAGGAAGTTGTTCCCAAGGAGTCCAGGGATCAGTTGGCCACGCCCTTCGGGCGTTGGCAAGAAACCGGGAAGCAAAAGCCGGATTCGCATTACTGTGGTTTCCTAGGGTCAGATTCAGCTGAGTCACTGTGACTGGATTTGGAAGGCTGACAGCACTGAGGAGACTTGCTCCGTAGAAATGCGTTTGTTTCTTCCATTTGTTTTTTATTTTCTTTTTTTTATTTTCTTTTTTTTTTTTTTGAGACGGGGTTGGTCTCGAACTCCTGACCTCAGGTAATCCACCCGCCTCGCCTCCCAAAGTGCTAGGATTACAGGCATGGGCCACTGCACCCGGCCTGTTTCTTTCTTCTCAAGATTCAGATTCTGGCCGGGCATGGTGGCTCAAGCCTGTAACCCTAGCACTTTGAGAGGCCGAGGTGGGTGGATCACCTGAGGTCAGGAGTTCAAGACCAGCCTGGCCATCACGGTGAAACCTCATCTTAAAAAAAAAAAAAAAAAGAAAGAAAAGAAAAAAGATTCAGATTCTGCACTTCGGGGCACATACAATGTACTTCTGTGGGTACCTGCCGCTGGACCACCCCTGCTCCTCAAAGCGAGTAATTGGGAAACGAACTGGTTTTATTTCTCCATGAACTAAAGCAAGGCTGGTGTGGAGATAGCAGTTACAGGGAAGCATTTAAAAAACGGCCAAAACAGAACCAAGTGTACTGGCTTTACACAAAATCTCACACAAAGGTACAGAACCAAACAGAGCAAATACTTTAAATCTGGGCCAGAGGTGGTGGCCCACGCCTGTAATCCTAACACTTTGGAGGCCGAGGCAGGGGAATCAATTGAGGTCAGGAGTTTCAGACCAGCCTGGCCAACCTGGTGAAACCTAGTCTCTGCTAAAATACAAAAATTAACCAGGTGTGGCGGTGCGCACCTGTAGTTCCAGCTACTTGGGAGGCTGAGGCAAGAGAATTGCTTGAACCCAGGAGGCAGAGGTTGCAGTGAGCCAAGATTGTGCCACTGCACTCCAGCCTGGGCGACAGAGTGAGACTGTCTCAAAAAACAAAACAAAAACAAACTATAAAGTAACAATTATAGTGAAGAGGGGAGACATACTGTCAAAATGCGAAGGAAAAATAACTAGAACTTTAAAGTGGTAATTAACCATCAGAAGAATGACAGATGGGGGTGATGAGGACCACACAGGGCCCTTCCATTGTCCCTCCAGAACAAAATTTAAGAAGGTGCCAGAATTTAAAAAAAAAAAAAAAAAAAAAAAAGCCTGTCACTGTGGCTCACACCTGTAATCTCAGCTCTTAGGGAGGCAGAGGCAGGAGCATAGCCTGAGCCCAGGAGTTCCCTGCCTGGGCAATATAGCAAGACCCTGTTCTCTTAGAAGAAGAAAAAAAAAGGCACCAGAAAACTCAGCAACAAGATAAACAATACTTTAATGCTATAGTTTTTTAAAAATCAAAATGAATGCAAAAGAGTCATGATGAGCCTGAGCGCGGTGGCTCACGCCTGTAATCCCAGCAGTTTAGGAGGCCGAAGTGGGTGGATCATGAGGTCAAGAGATGGAGACCATCCTGGCCATGGTGAAACCCTGTTTCTACTAAAAATACAAAAATTAGCTGGGCGTAGTGGCATGCACCTGTGGTTCCAGCTACTTGGGAGGCTGAGGCTGAAGAATTGCTTGAACCCAGGAGGCGGAGGTTGCAGGGAGCCGAGATTGCACCACTGCACTCCAGCCTGGCAACAGAGCAAGACTCCGTCTAGAAAAAAAAAAAAAGTCGGCCGGGTGTGGTGGCTCACGCCTGTAATCCTAGCACTTTGGGAGGCCGAGGTGGATGGAACACCTGAGGTCAGGAGTTCAAGACCAGCCTGGCCATCATGGTGAAACCCCATCTAAAAAAAAAAAAAAAAAAAAAAAAAAAAAAAAAAAATAGTCCTATTGGACAAAATGCTCACTGCAGCCTCAAACTCCTGGGCTCAAGCAATCTTCCTGCCTCAGCCTCCGGAGTAGCTGGGACTACAGGTGCGTACTTCCTCACCTGGCTAATTTTTGACTTTTTTTGTAGAGAGGTGGGTCTCGCTGTTTTACCCACTCTGGTCTAGAACTCCCAGCCTCACGTGATCCTTAGCCTCCCAAAGCGCTGGGATTACAGGCATAAACCAACATTGTAACATTTTGTCTATCATGACTTTTGGCATTCATTTTGATGCAACAAGAGAGGATGCTATTATTTACATGTATCTAAGAATTACTCTGGGAGGCTGAGGCAGGAGGATCACTTGAGCCCAGGAGTTTGAGATAAGCCTGAGCAACCAAGTGAGACCCCAGCTGACAAAATAGTATGAAAGAACCTTTTAAAAAAGTTCTAGGCAGCCCTGTCTGTGCCGCCCAAGTAAGGTAGCCACAAGTCTCAAGTAGCTATTGAGCACTGGAAATGTGGCCAGCAGCCAGGCATGGTAGCTGTAGTCCCAGCTACTCAGGAAGCTGAGGCAAGAAGATTGCTCGAGCCCAGAAGTTCAAGACTGCAGTGGTGGTAAAGCAGGAATGGCCGCAAGAAACACTGAACTGGGAAGGAAGGGGTGATTTATTCGGCAGGTAGCAAGATGGCATAGCTGCCTAAATGCCAAGCTCATCTAACAAAGGAAGTCCCTGCCCTTATAAAGGCTTACAACTCTAGAAATTACATGTGAAAAGGTCTTGGTCCATGAAGTATGCGTGGGGTATGTGGCTTAGGTGGGGGTTTGATCTTGTTTAAAAACAATGCCTTCTGGAAAGATTCCTCCATACCGTGCCTGTGATCTAAAGGAGGGCGATGAAGGTGGCGCCCAGTCTGCCAGCCTTTACTTTTCCTGTTGAAATGCAGCGTAGAGGTTAAGGGGGAGGTGGTCTTAGATGCTTAGGTCTCCTTCTTCACTACCAGCTTTGAGAATCTCACCTATAACATTAGTGAGAGTTCTCACTCTTATTCTCATTTTCATGATCCTCTGAAGAAAATGATGCATATAATACATTTGTGATGTGGTTCTCTGGTCTATTACAGCAGTGATGAATTTCTTAGTCATTTAGAGGAACAAGGGAAGAAAACGGGAGTAGCAAACAAACACCTAGCATTGTTACCACACTTATGATGAGGTTCTCTAATCCTCCCAAGGCTGGGGACCAATCTTTAAACAAGGACTCAGGGTTGAATCCATGCCTTACCTGCACAGGCAGGTGTGCTGGTTTGGTCATATCCTTAACTGCTTGACCCTGTCGTCTATGTGTAGACAGCAGTCTGTTAGTTTGAATTTTTCACAGACTCCTCCTTCAGTTGCTAGCAAATAATCTAAGGCCAACCAGTTCTGATAAATCGCATTTCTCAGTTGAGTTTCTTGTCTGACCAAAATGGACAGAGGTTTGCCCATTTTATTAACGAGGCTTTCCAAGGCAGCCTGCAACCGGATGATCTGGTTGAGCATATAGACAGGAGTCTGATGTCCCCAAGAGCCATCCTTTGCCCATGTGGCCAGCCCATAATCAATAATTCTTTCCAGTGGACACTCATCATTTTCCCATTCACCTATCTTTAGACTTCTTTTCTCCCGGGTGGGGTGGACTAGATGTCCTAACAGCCCACCTGCCTTGGCAGACAATAGGAGAAACGAAGACTTAATGATCCCAGTGACACAGCTACCTGTCCATCCTTCCGGCAGCTGTACATATGCTCTAAGTCCACATATCCAGTACAACCAAGCTGGGGCTGTCTAGTCTCTTCAATACCCAGGACAATTCCAAGGCTTCTGTAATTTTGGAAATTTTAGAACGGGATTTTTCTCTCTGTAGTTTGAGCTCCACCAGGAAGAGTGTCCACTGTTCCATTACACAGTTGCTGCCCTAGGCAGCTAAGCTTTCCTACTGGAACAGTGAAGGCTTTTCCTTCTCTGGCCAAACAGTATTGTTCAATATTTGAAACCTTTAAAACCCAGAAACTGTTGGTTTGAATTCTTTGAACTGAGGTCAGGTCGGGGACAGCGTCAGAGGGTACTGACTCACGGGCTTCCTATGGCCACCTATTACCCATGGTAATTCCCCCACACACATAGCAAGAAGTGACATTAAGGGAATGGGTCACATTTTCAGCAAGTTGGAGGAACAAGTTCTTTGTCTTTTTTGGAAGTTCCAGCACTGACGTATTTAATATATCATGGAAGGGCTGGTACACTGGCTGGGCTGAGCGTTTTTGGATTTTTCCCTGAATCCGGATGCTGGCTCCAGGATCAAGCCCGTTTCCATCAATTCCTAGCATTACACTCTCCCCTTTTTCTCATTTAGGGTCTTGGGGGTTCGTGATTAACTCTACTGGTTACAATGTCCCGAGACACAGGGGACATTACTCTCTGGAATCGCGTCCCTGCCTTTTACAAGGTGAACAGTATTACTTGTATTATTTTTCCAAGTGGCCCAGATGTTGTGTGACCAAAAAAATACATTTACTGCACCAGCACAGTAGGTTTTCTGGCAGATATACTTAAGCTCTTTTGTGTAACTTCGTTCCCATCCGAGGGAACCACAGCCCCCCGCCACTGGAATGATTGGCACTGATGGCTGCACAAGCATCAAACCTTAGGGTGACCTGTTTTGAGCTTCCCTTCTCCTCTGTTTTACCTATTGACTTAGTAGGACTGTTCCCTCGCCCTGTTAGGAGTTTAATTTCAAAAGTCATATGTGTAGGGGGCTCTGATGGGTCAAAGCAGACATCGGGCTGTCCATCCCCTGGATTACACACCTTATACTGAGTAGCATTATATAAACAAGTTCCCTTCTGCGACCCTGCACATTCATACTAACTGTAGAACAAAAGAATGGCAGTAACTTTACCTTAACCTGGTGCACACACTGTGAGCATTCTCCAAAATTAGTTAATATCC